CTCCTGTGGCGTGTGGAGCACTGGAGGACAGATGTTGCAGCGAGCGCCACCTTGATGGACGTGGAAGCAGAAGCAGGTGCAGCGCCCCGTAAACATCCACATCTAAGCAACAGGCGTATATACGCTACAATCAAAGCAACATGTCCTGTGAGTGAGTCAGTGGCACACATGTTCAGCCGGAGCTCGAGGCCCGGCCTTTGGGATCGGACCGAGCAGCGGTGGCGGTTTAATGTAATTAAGGATCCTGTTTGCTTACGAGCAGGATGAGCCCCAGAGGTCAGTGGAAGAAACGTGTGCCTGGTGATTCTATCAGAGGATTACCACTTCTTCCTGTTTGCTTCCTCTCGGCCATGCAGCTGTGCTCAGATGCCAGCCAGAAACTCTGTTCTCACAGATAGTAGACGCTAATTACGGCCCGGCGTTCTGAGCAATTTCCCTTTTTCCCTTCACATCTGGTTTATCTTGGTATTTTGGTATCTGTCTGCTGTTGAGGATGTCACTCTTCCACCTTCAGACTCTCCCTTTCCCGCTCTCAGGTCCACAGCTGGGTCTGTGTGCCAGCGGTGAGAACACACATCTGTCCGGTCACAGGGAAGGTATCAGTTCATTGATGAAGGCTCAAGATGAAGCAACATTTTGGCTCGAGCTCTTTTTTTAAACTAGCCAATGAGCTTTATCTACGCTGGCTGCCATTTCCTCCGTGCATTTATCGCGTGTTATTTACTTTCTCCTTGCACCTCTCTGCAGGTGTTCCTGGTTCTGGAGCTGCAGAGGTCCGATCTGCAGGTTCCTCCAATCTGTCTGGTGTTTAATTTCTCTCCCCTTCACCCCCACCCCGACGGGTCGAGGCAGACGTCTGGCCTCCCTGAGCCTGGTTCTGCTGTAACGTCTCTTTCTGTTAAAATGATTTTTTCCTCTCCATTGGTGCGAGTATCCTGAAGAACCTCTGGAAAGCTGTTGTGTTTGCCATGTATGATGCTGAAGGGCCTTATCTTTAATTCTTAAATGAGCCAGGTTCATCTCTAGAACCAGAATCAGGTAAATCTGGATTTTATGTAAGTTTGTAGGGTTTTAACTGTAATATTTAAATCGCTCAGGTTCATTCGTATCATAAATACTTCACAATGATAAACACAATGTAAATAACAGTGACCGGACTTTATTCAACTTCTTTGCCCAGAAATCTTTGACAATAGAGCATCACTTTAGACGCAATCAGCAATTCTGTTCTTTAAATACAAAGAGACTAAAGCACACGATAGCTGCTTCCTCCAAAGTGAGACTGAGCAGTTTGGATCAAACCACACAGACAAAATCATCATCACATCAAATTGCGTTAAATGCCTCGGTGTTACCATCTATGAATGTTTGCACTTCCTTTCTTAATCCTGTGGCTGACACTGGAAGCTTTCATCTCCCCCTCTGATCTGGCAGCCTTTGAAACCAGCAGCACCACACCTGTTCATCCCAGACACTTAAACAGCACGAGAGCCGCTGAACGCACCCCCACGTCCTCGCTTTGTTTGACATTCCATCACACCACCGGCCAAGGAGCTCAAAGAGATATGTGGAAAACTGGGCTGAGCAGAAAAACACAGGACCTGAGGTGTGAGTTTTACCGACCAGACACTGCAAAGGCAGCTGGCTCAGACATTCCTGTACTCGCAATCAGTGCATTTTAGCAACCAAATCCATGAGCAACAGCAATTTATTGTGATAAAAGCCTTTTGTTATGGAGCATAGTTTATTTTGCAGGCAGCATTTAGGAACCTCCTACAATTACTCCAGTAAAAATGAAGAAGTGAACAGAGAGCCTCAGTAAAAAGTCACTAAACAAGTATTGCATGTTGCTGTAAGGCCATAAGAAA